TTTCCCATTCAAGAGGATCAGGAACTATTTTCTTTTTCAGAGAATCTGTATCATTCTCATCCCCATGGAGCAATGATCATTGGAAATTTTTAAAGCTGTTAGCTTCTAGATTATCAAAGAAGGCTATTGAGGTTGGCTTGAATGTAAAGTTGAGGCCATATGAGATCAGTCATTAGCTTATCAAATAACAGAACAGGTTTGAGAAATCAAATGGCCAATTCCTGCTCCTGGCTAGTACATTTGTATTTCAGAATTATACCACAAATTATAAAGTGTGATTGTGACTGATAAAAATTATACCATTTAATTAAATATAATTTGAGAAATATTAAGACTTTAGATTGAGATGTTACAAAAGCTGTGCTACTGATGAGAACAACTTGCACATTTGATGCTGCAGACCCAAGATTGTGCTTGATAGTGATATAATTATTGTACTTACACTTTATGTACTTTATATCCCAAAGTGCTCTCCTTGCATAGAGGGAATTGATATTACTTCTTCCAAAGTTTTTGACATAACCTGGGATGTGCTTAAATGGATTTTAGTGGATTACTAATCAAGTAGCATTATGATTATGGTACCATCTCCAGTGGATGAACATTGCCAAGAGAATAAAATAAAGAACACTTTTATGGGATCACTTTCAGTGAGAAAAGTGGTAACAAAGAGTTAACATTCTCTTCCATACCCGCACCTACTAATCCCTCCGTCCTGAGCCAGATAAGATTACTTTTCTCATAGAAACATCATTTGCCTTTTCTTTTTTAAGAGGCTGATGGACTGAATGTTTCCATCCATAACCAATGTTCTTGGCTCCTCTCCTTGTAAAGGAGACAAGTAGATCTCCTATGATGTTGGCTATGGAAACTGGCTTTATGAGCACAACATCTGATGCTTACCATTGTCCAGCTGCAGCTTAACAGCAGAATCATCTCACCTTAGTTTTGGCTCAACAAATTGACATTGCTATGTACGAATTGGCTGCTGTGTTGTCTACATAACAATAGAAATTGTGGGTGGAATCTTACCGATTTTGAAAATGTTCTTCCATCACAGGAAGGCGTGATGTAATGGTGATTTCACTGGGCTTGTTATTTACAACCCCAGGCTAATGTTATGGGGAAAGTGGATTTGAATCCCACCATGAAAGATGGTGAAATTTGAATTTAATGAGAATCTGGAATTCAAAGATCACCTAATGGCAACCATGCAACCACTGTTAATTGTTGTAAAAATCCATTTGGTGCACAAATATCTTTTAGGGAGGGAAATCTGCCAACCTTACCTGACTCACATGTGGCTTCAGACTCACAGTAATGTGGTTGACTCTTAACCACCTTGTGGACGCTTAGGGATGAGTAATAAATGCTGGTCTAGTCAATGACGCCTACATCCCATGAACAGTTATATAAAATAAATCAAATGCAGGCCTGGAAATGGTGAAATAAAGAGATTGCACCAGGTGCTGTGCCCAATTAAGCATAGCAGGTGGGTTCCAGAGGCTGTAGGCACAAAAGGCTTCCAAAAAAAAGTATTTCATTCATTGTAAAATACTCTGGTACATTATGAACGGTGTTCATGTTGACCCCGAAAGACAAGGGACAGGAGTTATTGTTTTATTTTGCCAGCCTTCATCAGGCCACTAATTGTTCTGTGCCATTGGGAGACTGTTAACCCTCGGGTGTTATCTCCTGCCACATGGTGAAACACCTTCTTTAGACTTCTTCTCAGAACAGTCTCCCTCTTGTTTGCTGCATTTTCTCCACTGGGGTCTATTGATTAACCTCACTAAACTTTTCCTCTATCTTCTTCCAATGTCACGCTCCTGTCCTCTAGCATTTCTGCTATCTTTATAGGGCAAGAAAATACCTTTAAAATGTGTGGTCACTATTGTATATTTGGAAATAGCGCACAAACAATATCCCATAACAAATAATATTAATGACCAATTTATTTTTTGTGATGTTAATTGAGGGATACCTCCAAGGACATGGTGAGAACTCCTTTGCTCCTCATCAAAATGCTCTGGTTTCCTCCACAGTCCAAAGATGTGCAGGTTAGGTGGATTGGCCATGCTAAATTGCACATGGTGTCCAGGGATGTGTAGGTTATGTGGATTAACCATGGCAAATGCAGGGTTACAGGAGACAGAATAGGGATGGAGGGGTGAGTCTGCGTGAGATGCTCTTCAGAGAGTCGGTATGGACTTGTTGTGCCAAACCACCTGTTTCCACATTGTAGGAGTTCTATGAATTCTACGAATTCTTAAATAGTTGCTTTATATCCCTTCTCTTCATCTGAGCAAACAGGCCTTGTCTAGTTTAGTATCTCATCTGAAAGATGGAATGCCTGGCAATATGACAGTACCTCAGTACAGGAATTAAAATGAGTAATGAGCGCAATCATCAGGTCAAGCAAGCATCAAAGGAAAATTTTCAAGGGCAATTAGGGATGGGTAATAGGTGTTGGCCTTGCCAGTGACACTGCTACCCCATGAAAGAATGAGAAGGACTTTGCTGAATTCAGCAAAGAAAAACTATGAAGAGGGTGTTCTGCTATATAACGCGTGTTCCGGCAACACAAGTCGGCTATAATGTGACTGGCGAATAGGGGAACACTATTTCTAAAATGCGAACTTGTGTTTGCTATAACGCAATTCCATCAGTGCTTGGAGGAGTACGCATTGATATCAAGTGATTGTTTTGTTGGGCTTTGTCCTGAGCATGCGCAATGTCAGCGCCGAGAGAGAGTCTGCGCTGACATCACGCGATCATTGCACTTTCTGTGAGAGGTACAATACCCCTTTTTTTGCAAATTCTGCTGTGTTACCCACAAAAATGCAAGGACAAAGTGACAAGAATGTTAGCAAGAAGCGTCCTGGTGATAAAAGTGTAAGAGGTGAATGTAAAAGAAAGGCTATAACACTGGAAGAGAAGGTAGATGTTATAAAGTGTTTTGGGCGTAATGAGAGAACATGTGATATAGTTCATGTAACAGGAATAAAGGAGTCTACCTTACGCACCATTAGAGACAATGCAGAAAAGATTAAAGCAAGCTGTATTGCTGGAACAAGTCTGAATGCTCGCAAATCTGTGGGGTCACGGACAAAGGAACTTGAGGAGATGGAGCAGCTTCTAAGTGTGTGGATAGATGATCAAACGTAAAAGTGATCTGGGACCACCCTTCTCACCATAAAAGAGAAGCCTTATCAATTTATGAAGATCTAACAAAAAAGCTGAAAATCCTGCAGATGAGCCTGCCTTTAGTGCTAGCAGTGGCTGGTTTGCTGGTTTTAAGAACCGATATGCTTTTCATAATGTAAAGTTATGTGGCAAAGCTGCCAGTGCAGACGAAGAGAATGCAATGGCATTTCCTCCCATATTAAAAAGTTAATTGATGAAGAAGGCTAAAACTTAGAGCAAATTTTCAATTTGGATGAGACTGGTTTATACTGGAAGCAAATGCCATCTCAGTGTTTACTTTAGGTCAAGTGAAAGACGACAAATTTTTTCTGACCTTATTGTTGATGTTTTGGAAGATGTTTTTAGAAAGTATTGCAGGAAAAAAATTGCATTTCAAAATTCTCCTCATCCTGGATAATGCACCAAGCCATCCTCCCACTATTGCGGAGCTTTCTGAACATCAAAGTGCTATTTCTACCCTCCAACACAACCTCTCTCCTTCAACCCATGGAGCAGAGTGCAATAGCAGCTTTTAAAGCTTATTATTTAAGGCACGCATTTAAGAGTCTGATTGCAGACTCTGAAGAGAGTGTTCTTCAATTTTGGAAGAACTTTAACATCAAGATTGCAATTGCATTATTGTGGAGGCCTGAGGTGATGTCAGTAAGGACTGCTTGCTTGCAGTTTGGCAGAAGCTGCTCCCAGATTTTTTTCAAGATTTTAAAGGCTTTGATCCATCAGAGGAGCTCCCAAGTTTCAAAGAACATTGTGTTGATCTTGCAAAGCAAGTTGGATTTGAAGAAGTGGAGAGTGAGGATGTTGAAGAGCAGCTTGAGTCCCACTGTGAAGACCTCTCTACAGCTGACCTAAAATAACTTGTCGCTGAGCGGGAAGTGGAAGCTGGAGATGAAGAAGATGAAGTCCAGGATGCAGCACCATGAGAGCTTTCCACTTCTATTTTGTCTTCTATCCTGAAGGAAATTGAGGAGCAGTTGCAGCTCTTCGAGGACAATGATTACAATACAGAACGCAGCAGGATAGCAGATCGTGGAATAAGATCTTATATGGCACCCTGTGAACAGCTTCTTCATGAAAGAAGAAAAAGGGCAAAGCAGCAAAAGCTGGACATCTTTTTTAAGCCAACCCCCCAGAAACAGTCAGAAGACAATTAACCACAACCATCCACTTCTGGATTAACTATTTTTCGCCCTAACCCTGAAACCACAACGGCATCTGAAGATGATGATGATGACCATCAGCCCCTGCATTAACAACTGAGCAACCTCAAAACCTCCTCCCCATTAAGTCATCTTGACATTTTTTCAAGGTAAGGTGTTAAATTTACCTTTATTTCATTATTAGATATGAATAAAACATTTATTCAAACTTTGCTATCCTTTGTGTTAGGTTTGAGTGTTTTTTCAGCTATTTCCAGTGATTTTGTTTTGGTGGTCTGCCCCTAAACCCGCTTTCCCCATAGGCCCCGTTATTTCTCTAGCGCGATTTTCTACGAGGCAATGTTGCGCAGGAACGCTACTATCGCGTTATAGCAGAGCCCCCTGTACAGTTCTCGGAGCACGGAGATGTGATTGAATGATGTGGAATGTGGCATTTTACATAGAGGGTTATAATATTTGCCGTTGTTGGTGTCATAATATTAATACGACTCAGTAACTAAACTGAGTGGTGCTGCCTGCGGTTTGGAAGGTGGAACTGCTGTGTGCAGGGGGTGGGGGGTAAATGCGTTGGGGGGGGAGTGGAGCTAGTGGCAGCACAGGGGAGGAGTGGCTATTCTGCTGAGATCGAGCGCTCCGCTCGCTGCTGATCAGAAGCAATGTGAGCGTTTCGGAGGCTCTGTGCAAACGTAGTGAGATTGACATAGAGATTTCTTTAACGAGCGCTGCAAACGGGGGCGGACTCCGGTATTCTTCGAGAGACAAGAGTACTGGACCCTGGGAATATGGATGTGCATCATTTTGTGAGGATTGGGAACGTTTGTAACCGACGCTGAAAAATAAGAAACGTTAAAAGTTTTCAAGGACTTCCCACGCCCTATTTGAGGCTACCAATTTTCTTGTCTGTGATCGATTACTGAGAAGCCAAAGCGACTTTGTCCTCGGCCAGAGTTGAAGCCGCCCTAACTATACATTGATGTGAAAACTGGAAACGATGATTTTAACACGTAAGCATGCACTGATGTCTTTGTCGTTTGCCGTCCATAGCTGTTTAATGAAATGTAGATGGCGAAGTGACAGAGAAACTGCAGTGAGCTAAATCTTCATTATTGCCTTGGGATTGTACAGCAGATGATCTTTACTGCCCACTGTTTGGAAATGTGATTAGGGTCATTGAGAAAGGAGGGGGGGGATCGTATGAAAAACATTAATTTCAATTTTCCGTCAATTTCTTAAAAGTGATGCTCCAATGTTACACTTTCACAGAGATTCCTAGTCATTTAATATCCCCCAATTGCAACGGGAAAAGGAGACGGACGGGGGTTGAGCGTGACTTATGCAAAATAGTGTTTGAGACCTGTATTGTGAGTGTGTGTTTTCTGTTTCGGTTCTCTGTCCTTGCTCGGGTTATTGATGTCATTGTGTGGTGGGGGTGGGGAGGGAGGGCTCGGATGGGTGTTTGGAGGTGAGTCCTCAGGGTGAAAGATGTCACGATAAGAGGGATCCGGAGCTGCACGTCCCCCTCGTCACCGGGAGAGGGGGAGTTCTTCTTGGGAGATTCGCGGGGGGGGGGGGGGGGGGGCGGGCGTGGAAATGAGAATAACAACGTTTAGTTTCGGCTTTTATTGAAATGATCTTGTTTTTTTTAAGACAAAGGTGCATTTGTCGTTTTACCTAACGCGCAGCAATCTTAGTTCCATTTGCAAAATAACGGAATAGTTTTTTTTAAGAGATTTATTTTAAAAATATAAATTGCAGAGCCTGTGATCCCTGTGGATAAATGGTTGGATATTGCAGTGGATTCGGAGCTGATTTGCTTAAAGGACAATACAGATTGAAGGTTTTGCCTGGTGTTCTGGTGTGGTTGCTAAAGGATGTTGTACAGGAGGAGGGGAGGGGGTGAGGAGGAGGAGGAAGAGATGAGGGGGTCGGCAGGAGCTAGGACCCCGCGGAGCCCTCCTGGTGGCCCGCAGCGTCTAAGTCGGCGGCGGTCCCTTTGATCCCAGTGGGTCTGGGTCCCCCCGCCCGGCCCTTCCTTGGTATCCCCCGGCCAGAGTGAGGGCCAGCGCGGTGCAAGTGAGACCAAACAGGCCGCTTCCCTCATTGACCCGTAGGCTCTGGCCTTTCCTGCCCTCCCTTCCCGTCACCCATGTACCAGTGGTGGGGAGGGGTCTCCACCTGGGGGCTGTCTAATTTCTCAGCTTGGCCACCTGGGACTAATATCTTAAGAGCAAACTCATGGTATTTTCATCAACTTTCCAAAGAATGCATTCAGGTTCTCAACGTGTGCCCCACTCCCCTTACCCATGCCTGTGGAACAAGTTCTGATTCAACATCATTGTCCCATTCACACCATGCCTAGTGAGTTTGGCACAGGAGAATATTCTGTACCATACAAAAACAGAAGTTGCTGGAGAAACCCATCAGGTCTAGCAGTATCTGTGAAGAGAAATCAGAGTTAACATTTCAAGTCCGGTGACCCTTCTTCAGAACTGAATTCAAGAATTGTGGGATTTGAATTCAATAAAAATCTGGGATCAAGAGTCTGACTGTGAAACAGTTGCTGATTTTTGGAAAAAATAACCCATCTGGTTCACTAATCTCCTTTAGAGAGGGAAATCTGCCATCCTTATCCAGTCTGGCCTACATGTGACTCCAGACCCACAGCAATGTGGTTGGCTCTCAGCTGCCCTCTGGGCAATTAGGGATGGACTGTAGACACTGGCCTGGCCAGCAACATTCACATTCCATGAATGAGTCAAAAATTGCACAACCTACCCCCATTAGGAGAGCACCAGATTCCACCCCAACTTCGTAGTAAGCTCACTGTTCTCAGCCAGAATGATGGTAGAAACATTATCATTCCCCTTTGAATCCTGATTTTAGGAGAGGAAAGTTGTGCAGGGTGTCTCACTCACTACAAAGTGCTGACAGCCTTATTTGTATTAGGACAAGATGGCAATTGACTGCTTCTCTTTCCCTGTGGTTGAACAGCTGTCCCATTCATTCCCAGGCTGATTAACACTTGATCCAGGTACTGGGTGCTGACTTCTGCTGTAGAACTTTGCATAGCAAGGCCACAAAGAATTTCAGGAGAGGAAGGGAACAAAATTGACAGGAAAAGGGCAAAGAAACAGAAATACTAGGAAATTGCAGTGAGCAATGGTAATCTCTTTAAAAGATCTCTTGCATAATTGACATAATTTGAAAGCCTGGTACAATCGTCACCCTTCCAGTATTGAGAAAGCTCCCATTAGTTGTGTTGCCATCAGAAATTTCTCTGACAATCCGCAATAGGCAGCGTATTTACATGTATTTCAGAATGCATGCACAGAATGTTAAATTCATCTCACTCCAGTGCGGTGGAAGCAAAGAGCATTTTTGCCAATGTCTACACATATAGTTGTGTAGCACAATGTATCCATTAGTGAAATATAAATAGTTTATTAAAGTGAAAATGCCAATCAAACACTTACACACCCCTTGTAATTAAGTGGCAAGACAGCATCGTTCACTTGTCATTAAAATTTTCATCAGAGCTCAACATTATATCACTTCCGCATGAAGTCCTTTTGACAAAATCAAGCAACTCTTCCAAGCCTTTACCGTGTATGTGTTCTCAACACAGATGATAGGTGGTAGAGCGCCACCATTAAAAATTGTTGGCGTCATCCATCTGTACCTGAGCAGATGCACTCGCAACACAGCTAGTGCTCTGTAGGTTTTGACCTTCAAAAAAAAATTAACCATTTCACTTTTTAAAATATAGGGATGCAGATAGGTCTGTCATTCAAGGTGTTCATTAAAACAAATGACTTTTTCCTTCCCCATTCTCTGTCAGAGCAACCTCAGTTGTTGCTGACAACATGGCAACCTGCTTCCTTACACATTAAGCAAAACAATTGATGATTTGCTGCAAAAGTACTTTAGGTCATTTTGGCAGTTTCTGACCATGTTCAGAGACATCCAGCACTTTGACAGTATTTCTGCACATTTACATGTTTTGCTGCACCTAGCAAGTGATGTTGCCTGTGGACATAAACAAGCCTTTACACCCCCAAAGCAGTGCTGGTACCTTTATAAAATTGCTGACATTTTTAGCTAACTGCACAATCTCATTTCTGTACATTTTCACTGGCTCATTATGGAAGTAAAAATGATCAGCCAATTAGATCAATCTATACCCTTACCTGAATCAATAAACGATGAGCATTGATACAAAACGCATGTTCCCCAAATAAATCTCCACCACAGCCATAACAGATCGTAAATAATGATGTGGAACAAAAAGTGAGTTGCTAGATAAATGTGTGGACTATTCTGTTGGATAACAACCAGTAATTTTGATTCTGTTGAATCTCAATTATGACTTGTTTGAAATCACCAATTGTGAATTGGTTCATGAGTAATATTAATCTAGAGTACTGTGTGCGGTTCTGGTCCCCCTTTTACAGGAAGGATATTATTAAATTGGAGAGGGCTCAGAAAAGTTTTGCCAGGACGTTGCCGGGAATGCAAGGTTGGACATATAAAAGTAGAATAGAAAAGCTGGGAATTTTTTTCCCTGGAACGTAGGAGGTTGAAAGGTGACCTTATTGAGATTTATAAAATCATGAGGGGTGTAGATAAGGTGAATGACAAGGGTATTTTTCCTAGTTTGGGCGGTTGAAAACTAGGGAGCAGATTTTTAAGGTGAGAGGAGAAAAATTTAAAAAGGACACAAGGGGCAATTTTTTTTATACAGAGAGTGGTTTGTGTGTGGAATGAACTGCCAGAGAAAGTGGTGGACGCAGATATAATTACAACTTATAAAAGACATTTGGATAAGTTCATAAATAGGAAAGGTTGGGAGGGATATGGACCAAGCACAGATGACTGGGACTAGTTTAGTTTGGGAACATGGCCGGCATGGATTGGTTGGACCAAAGAGTCTGTTTCCATGCTGTATGCCTGTACAACTGTATGACTATATTAGTTAAAAGTACAGTAGGACCTGTATTCACACCATCATTATTAGAGTAAGTGTTGGTTTGCGTGCGACTTAATTACATTGCATAGTTTGTTTCAGAATTTGATTTTTTTAATCAAAACTGATGTATAATTCTTATTTTGTTATTTATGACTTGTCTTGGATATACAATATTATGCATGTAAGCCCAAAATTTGGGACTTTTCATTATCTGCCAATTTTTACAGTCTGTTTATGCTCATTCCAATGATGGCAGATGAAGGAGATTCCACAGTATTGGCTTATATCTCTGGAATAACACAGTTTGTTTTAAGATGGTGATAATTTTATAATGTACATAAAGTTTTAGCATTCTTGATGTAAGTACATAGAACAGTATTGCTTTTCAGAATAGTGGTGATGTTATGTATCAGTTGATGGGACAGTCTGATAATCGTCTATGCACACACCTTCAGTCACAGTGGATGGATGTATGGCTGGTTTTGTTTTTATTTAGTGACAGTACAGTGTCCTCAGATAAAAATAAGTGCAAAGATAAAGAGCAAGCAGGTTAGTTAGAAGCTGAATGTATAAATCTTGTCACCAACACAAGAAAAGCCCCACTTGCCTGCATGTATTCAGTGAGTCCATCTGGCCTGCAGGCATCATGGTGTAGATAATTAGCAATAGCTATCTCCATTATTTCTCTTAAGTTTGTGTTTTCAGTGTCTTCTTTCAATATGTAGCAGATGGCTGTGGCCTCCTGTAGTCTCCTGACCTGCCTTATTGGTGGAAGGAATTTTGAGACAGATTAAAGTCCTGCACATGCGCAAGATAGCTCAGCAGATGTGATTCGATGTCAGCACCCGATCACTTGTGTTTGCTCAGGATGCATCTGCTGGATTCTGCTTGCAATTGAGGCTTTTTGTTTTCTACAGGATGGTCCAGCATTGTAAACAGGAGTCTCATGCTTTATTTTGCCTCTTAGCAACAGGAAGACAGCACAGGAAAGGAGGTAGAGCAAAGATCCTGAATGGCTCCAGACAATATTAAACACAC